CACAGTGACCTGCTTTTGAATATCTCAGGTACGTATAAGCTTAGAATCATCAAACTTTTTCAGTTTAGGCACCTTGGGTTTTCGGAGAACGTCGACCAAAAAGTAGGTCACTGTGACCTACTTTTGACATTTTATGGCTATATTTAATTATATCCGGTACTTATTGGCTTGGAGTTATCAAACTTTGTCAATTGAGGCATCTTAGGGTTTCATTGAATGTCCAACAAGAAGTAGGTTACGGTGACCTAATTTTGAATATCTCAGGTACTTATTGGCTTAGGATCATCAAATTTTGTTAATTTAGGCATTGTGGGTTTTTGAATAACGTTGACCAAAAAGTAGGTCACCGTGACCTACTTTTGACATTTGATGGCTGTATTTAATTATCTGGTACTAATTGGCTTAGAATCGTCAAACTTTGTAAGATGATGCATCTTGGGTTTTCAGAGAATGTTGACCAAAAAGTAGGTCATGGTGACCTACTTTTGAATATCTCAGGTACTTATTTAATTAGAATCATCAGTGTTTGTCAATTAATGTATCTTGAGTCCTTGGAAAATTTCAATCAAAAGGTAGGTCACTGTGACCTACTTATGGTATTTTATAATTATATTATAATATCTTCAGTCTTAACTGGCTAAATATTATCAAACTTTGTAAGTTGATGCATTTTGGGTCTTATGATTCTAATAGAATTGGAGGCTTCTAATAGAAGTGATAGATTGTACAATTTATCAGAAGAGCGATTCAAGGCCCTTGGGCCTCTTGTTGTGAAATGTTCTTATGGTTTACGGTTGTTTTGTCTTGTAGATGTCGCCTACAGCTAGTAAAGACAGATGGTCGAGGTTGGGGAGTGAAGACTCTGCTAGACATTCCTAAAGGCATCTTCATCTGCGAGTAAGTAGCATATTAATCCTAATAACATCTTCATCTGCTAAAAAATAACATATAACCTTAATGGCACCTTTACTTGGAAGTAAGTAGCATGTTAATTCCCAAAACACTCTTCATCTGCTAGTATGTAGTTTATTAATCCTAATAGCATCTTCATCTGTGAATAGCATGATATTCCTAAAGCTATCTTCATCTCTGAGCAAGTAGTTTTTAATTTCCCAAAGGCATCTTGCTCTATGAGCTAGTAGTGTGTTATCTTCATACTAGCTGCAGATCTGTAGCATTATGGTTTTATATATTTGTCATTGACCATAACGCTACAGATCCTGTAGTGCAAAAAAGGTGCAATTTACGGCACAATATTTTTTGCGCTCCTTTTGGGGAGAATTTCTCCACTTTCTAGCATTGGTCAATCAACTACCTTTCACTTCCTAATTCTAGACACATTCTGTAGCCAATATGTATAGTTTATCCACTTTCCAACCATTTATGATTGTCTCTAGAGGCAATAAACTCGCTGGAAGTGAATTTTCAGTAATCTAACAAAATAATTTTAATCAAGCGAGTTTATCACTTGTAGAGACAACTATATAGGGTTGGGAGATGGATAGAATAATTATACAGATTAGTTAAATAATGTGTCTAGAATTAGGGAGTGAAAGGTAGTTGATTGAACGATGCTGGAATGTGGGGAAATTCTCCCCAAAAGAGCGCAAAAAATATTGCGCCGTAAATTGCACCTTTTTGCACTACTGGATCTGTAGCGTTATGGTCAAAGACAAATATATAAAACCATAAATCTACAGATCTGCAGCTATCTTCATACATGAGTAAGTTGTGAATTATTCTGAAAGGCATATAAAAGTTGCATGTTATTTTCTTACCGGTATGGCATCTTCTTTGGAGAGTAAGTAGCTTATCAAAAAAAAAAAAATTCCTTGGAGCTTACTAGAAATTCATCTCCTCTTAGAAAACTAAAAGAAATACACGTCTTTGATTTATCTGAGTGGTTATAACTGTGAACGAATAATAATTACAAAGAATTTGGTCAGAGTGATTATCCTATCTGCCCATCTTAATGCTACAATTGTCTGAACTGATTTATGTGCACACTGACTTTGATGTGGTAGATTCAGATATTTAGGCCAATATATGCATGTAGCATTTACATACTATGACCATTTTAGCAGTTGAAGTCATAGCTAAATATTCCAAAACCATTGATTTTGTTAAAATTACCTAGAAGTCATTTTATCAGTGTTTAAATTGATAAACATTAGATTGAAATTTATTGCAGTACTTGTAATTGTTTTCTATATATGCATATGAAATTACTGCCCAAAACTAGAATTATGTTCAGTTAAAGATGCATGCTTTTCGAAGAAAATTGATATGGAGAGCTCTATACTATATTGACTTTTTGACTGTGACTGTTTACAGGTATATAGGAGAGCTGATATCGGACTCGGAGGCGGATGGAAGAGAAGATGATTCCTATCTGTTTGATCTCGATAATAGGGTGTGTATTCCCTCGGATTTTCTTCAATATAATAAGAAAAAAAAGATGCTGCAGGGAAGAAAATGTTAACATGTTAAAGAAAAGTCAATATCATTATAACCATGTTAAATTATGATATTCAGTAGTCGTGAATTTGTATCACATGCAAAGTTACCCAAAACCTTTCTCACAAAAAACATTTTCCCTTATAAAAAATAATTTACCATTTCCATATTGTAGAAAAAATACTTATGCATTAAAGTCTTGTATAAGAGATTTCTTTCTAGTATATACAAAGTATGAAGAAGTCAACACTTTATTTCAATAATTTATTTATGTATTTTACCTCAATCTATATACTCCTGTAGGATGGAGACACATACTGTATAGATGCCAGAAGATATGGAAATATTAGTCGTTTTATAAACCACCTGTGTGAGCCTAACATCATTCCAGTAAAAGTGTTTGTGGACCACCAAGATTTACGATTCCCTCGCATCTGTTTCTTCTCCTCTAGGGAGATCAAGGCAGAAGAGGAGTTGGGGTAAGTGTTGTTCTGTTGTGTTTAGTTGTTCTTTGTTCAGGTTTTGTTTTTTCAGTTGTGTTTTGTTGTATGTCACTCTGGTCTTGTTCAGTTATTATATTTTATTTTTTAATCAGGCTGATTTTGTTCACTTGTATTGTGTCTTGCACATTTGTGTTTTGTTCGGTTATTTTTTGTCTTGTTTCTTCAAAATGTGCCTTGTTCATCTCAGATGAATTGTGATTATTCTTAAAATGTGTAATCCAGAGAATTGTCTTATTTGGCCAATTTCTGGCAAAGTGCATACAAGGTCTTTTGTAAAAGCTGGCCAAAAGTATCTTGTGTTTCATAGATATATTCGAAATATCTTTATCAATATGCTTTTTCATTTGGAAGATTGTGAGTTGATGATTGAGAAAGGTGTAGTCTCTACAACTATACTAGTTTATGTAACAAAGGAAAGAAATGAGAAGATGATTTCCACAGAATTTATTACTTAGTGCAGTTTTTGCTTACATTTGAATAGCTAAAGGTTATTAGTAACTTTGTATGGGTCATGAAATAATACTGTTAACGTGCCCAAGTCCTCAAAAGCTTTACTTAAAGTTAATTTTATTCAGTACATGTATCTTTTAATTTGAAATTAATATTGCATAGTGGAAAATTTGCTACTGATCCTCAAATGATTTTGAAAGTTTAATGTAGTAATCAGGCTCAAGATAATATTTACATGTACCAGTTATGTGCAGAAAAATTGTAAACCAGCCAACACCTGTAGTGCTTATTTAATTCTATTTTAAGTATACATGTACTACCATTTATATGGATTGCTTTCTAATTGCATTGAAAAATATACAGACTGCTTTCAGATTGGTTGGAAAAAGTGCTTCAATTATTTAATGGCAGTGAATATTGTAAAATTCCCTTGATGACAATTATCTCACGTTAATAATGTGTTTTTTGGACAACTTGCTCTTGTTGAATAAATCCCCAATAATGCTGATTGACTTTGAAGATAATTTTCAGCAGAATCAAATGGCAGAATAGCTATTAAAGAAATTAATTTTCAAGAGTAAGTTTTCATTTGTTTCCATTTCATTTTCTACCCAGTCACTGAAGAATGCCTCAGCCTTTAGTGCATATTGGAATTTATTTCTCTGCAGAAATTGCTTTGTTCTACAAAAAAAAGTCTTTGTCAGTGAAAGAAGAAAAAAAAGTTAGTTTATTAGAAAGCTGGTGATGCAGTATAATGAGTAAAGCTAACAAACTACAAATTATTAAATGTGTCAGATTCATTTCCCCCATCAGAACGTTGTTTGACATTTGAGTGTCTTTTATGCATATAATATCGCCATGGCAACTAGTCGTTACATCTAATATGTTTGCTTCTTGATTGGCATTAAAAGCTTCAAGGTAAGACTAAGGTGGAAATTTACAGTCACTTCTGGAGAAGGAAGAATCGGGCATAAAAGACTCGGAAAATTTTATGAAACATCGCAGAGCAAGAACAAATACCTGAGTCTGGTCTCTTTTGTTATGAAAGGTTACTGATGGTTATTACATTGCTAATGATTTGTTTTTCTGGGATTTTTAAAAATGTCAAAAATGTGATGAGACAGCTTTAATAGCTTACAGAACTTCTTCAAAGTAAGATTTATAGCTCCTGTAAACATTAGGCCCCCCAAGGATAACCCAGATATAGGGAATGTTTGTCATGTCTATCTCTCTGAATTAACACACTTAAAATGGATTTTACAACAACAACAAAATAATAGTTTTAAATGTTTTTCAAAAATTTTTAAAATGTCAAAGCTTTTTGATGGTGACCTTGACCTTTCATTTGAAAATGATGTTTCCTACTTTTACATTCAGTTTCAAGGAAGCTGTTTTAAATATTTTTATTGAACATGGTATGAGACACATATTGATGATGATAGCAATCTAGTAACGAATCAACACTATAAAAAGTACTATACTACAGAAGGCAACACTAAGTAACAAATCAATTCAAAAAGAAAAATGTTCACATGTATATTAATAAAGTCTAGCTTACTTAATAAAATGATTGTGTAAAAGACATTACATGTACCTACAAAGGTGGATCCAGGGCCAGTGCAACCCCCCCACGTATAATTTCATGATCATTATTTAAGAAATAAACAACAATGTTAAAACATTCTCTGGGAAATGAACTTTTAGTTGGTCGTGTACCCGGTAATCAGATCCTGTGAAGCCCGAAGGGCTTCTCAGTAGATTTGATCACGTACCAACTAAAAGTTCATTTCCCAGTGAACTTTAAAACATTGTTGTTTATTACTTATATTTACATTTGAGATGAATAAATTTCGAGTGAAACTGCATTTATTACAAAAACGGGCCGCCGTGTTGCTATGTTGTGACACGCAATGACCTAGAAGTTGGGTCTAGAAAGTTAACATTGCTCCAACATTTGAATGTTTACATTTATGTTTAGATGTCCCATTCAGGAAATATCTGTATAAAGTGAAAGAACAATGATCGCTGTTGAGAATAATCTAACTATTTCATAAGTTCTTAAAATATTTGAAGTCAAAAGCGGTGGTATCGCCTGGTATTTAGTTTACATAACTCGAAGAAATTTCAGGTTAAAAAGGTAAGTGCGGTGTTAGGCTAATTATAGTGTACAAAATCTTCATATCGAAAGAAGATTTATTTTACATCCTGTGATTGAAAAATATCCATATTGTTCATCATTTTATCTTTTTCATCGTTATTAACTTAGTAATATTGCAAAACAGGTTTCACCCTGACAGAAATATGTAGACAAAATATCACCTCGCTCTGTGATTCAGGTTGTGCTATGACCTCTGACCCCCAAATAAGATTCATACAGAATTGAACATATTTTCTCTTCAGTGGGTTCATCTAAGAAAGATATTTGCAAATGTAAATGTAAAAGAATGCCTTTTATCTTAAAGGTTTTGTGTTTTTCATAAAAATAATGTTTTTGCTGTGCTCAATCCATAAAGGTCATTGATTGAGAAAATGTCATTGTTTTAATAATGATTTGTAGCTACATATACTTACCCGTAGACTATGAAAGTCATTTTTAGGGCAGCTTTAATTGTTTTTCTCACATATTTACTAGCAAACTAGACTTTGATCAAAGTATTGTTGGATATAATGAAAGTGATATAAGAACACCACAGGTAGTTTAATTTTTCTGTTTTTAAAACGATTGATTGATGTTTTTCTTTTTGGATCCTTTTGCAATTTACAGCAGCTAGATCATTTCAAAGATATCAAGTGTTTTGAAGTTCATAAGAAAAGAGAATTATATATATTTGGAATGGTATGTGCATGTTTAACAATACTTGATATTACAATGTAGTTGAAAACAAAAGCAAAAGAAATCTGCAAAAATATATATTAAAATAAAAGAGGCAGTCAACTATATATAGTCATTTTACTTTGGGATTTAAAGGAATGCAGTAATTTCACTGTATTACAGTATGGTTAGAAGGTGCTAATTTCTGTTAGGTGATTTGGATGTTGGTACTTGGAAAGGGCAAGCTCTCTGGTTGTGAAGAGAGAGCAACAGTGGATCAATCCCAGCATCTCTGGAGAGATCAACATGTAAACACAATGACAAAGATGGAGGTCAATAAATAATTAATTTGGTGGTGAGAAAGATATATAGATTTTGTCATTACTGCTTAGGACATAGATCTAGCTCTCGTCAACCATTGAAGGTTGAGTCCACTCAGTGACGTTATTGATTTTATCTCGTTCTCCGCCAGCTATCAGTCCGCAGTTACTGAGGGTGACGATTTCTAATTGGTACAGTATCATAGCAGCGGAGAGAATCTCGCAGTTTTTAATTGGCACAGTTAGGGACGTAAAATGCCGTTCTGTAATTATTTTTGACAAAAAGAATATTTTGGGGGCAAGAACGGAGCAGTTAAGTGCTGCAGTAATTTTGCATTGTGATGATCCAGTTATTGAGATTGGACTATGATAATGAGGTTGTCATGAAACCAATGAATTTTTGCAATTGTTATGTTAATATGCCCTTTCAGTAAATGTATTGTAAAATTTGTTAACTATAGCTATGGGACTTGTATTAAAAAAATTATTTGATTTGATTTGCTATCCCAAGAGATAGTTTGCTTAATTTAGATGTGTAGACACAGTACTTTAGGACTATAATGTCCATATTAATGTCATAGTGACATGTTGTGTAATTAAATGCACCAGGTATAAATTGACCATAATAAGCTTGTACAGTTTTGTCAGTTATCACTGCACATCTTTTTGGTCACAAAAATGTTAGATGTGCAAATTCAAAAAAAAAATGTAACTGGTGAGTACATTGTATTTGCAAGGTGCATTTGTATTACAGTACTTCATGAAGAAGATTGTTGATTGACATATGGCATGTATGTTTAAGCCTAGCTCTCTGCTAGCTCTAACACTAATGCCAGTGGACAGGGTTTGTAGAACTTGTCAGAGGTTACAGTATGAAACATTTCACATCAGAGCCTCACTTCTATGTTTCAGATTCGATTACGGAGAGAAATTCTGGATTATTAAGTGGAAGCAATTTACATGTGCGTGTAATTCACCTAAATGCAAATACTCCAAAGACACGATTCAGAAAACACTTCAGGAGTATCGTCAGAGGCACGAGGACGAAGAACCGATAGACTGAGCACCGCCGCCGACCCGCCCAGGGGAACGCGTGCAGAGCCACTCGTGGTGTCTCGTCAAATTAATGACTCGTTATGGAGAATCGGAGAGTCTGAGGCCTTGTATGTTTATACGCTTGATAATGTTAGACTGCTTGTTTGTTTGAATGTGAGAGTCTGTAAAATCTACTAAGCAGTTATAATTAAAAAGTACCATGTACTTGATGTAGTATTCAATCTGAATTAATTATGTTCCCCAAACGGAGTTTGGGAACATATTGTTTTTACTCTGTTTCTTATTATTATTATTTTTTTTCTTATTTGTTCTCCGGTACTTTTTTGTCCGCGAGTGTTCTCAGAAACTGTTCACCCAACTGAGCTAAAACCTTTTTAGGGTTAATAGGTATGTAGTGTAGGTGTGCGGAACGAAGGTCATTTTGCGCGCATACGCCTGCACGTGCGTGCGCGTGAAATAAGTGAATTGACTGATATACTTATTATAGCTATAACTTTTACATTTTTTGATAGAATGCTTTGAAACTCATTACATAAGGATATGTTAAAAGTGTTAATAATATGACACTGTCAAATTAGCATGAACTCATGCGCATGCACGTGCGCTGCAATCTGATTGGCTGAAACTAAAATCTCAATATCTCTTTTTTTTCCGACGAAATTCTTTGAAATTTTTAACATTGTCATGAATTAGGATATCCTACAATATAATATGGAAAATATTTCATGAAATTACGCGCATGCACGTGCGCTGCAATCTGATTGGCTGAAAATTTAAATAGCTATATCTCCTTTATTTTTTGAAGAAATGCTTTGAAATTTAAAACATAGTCATGTATTAGATTATAGTACAATATGATGTACAAAAAATTTCAAGAAATTACGCGCATGCACGTGTGCTGCAATCTGATTGGCTGAAACTTTTAATGGCTATATCTCCTTTGTTTTTTGACGAAATGCTTTGAAATTTAAAACATAGTTATGCATTAGGATATTCTACAATATGATTTAGAAAAAAATTACTTGAAATCACGTGGATGCACGTGTGCTGCAATTTGATTGGCTGAAACTTGAAATGGCTATTATTCCCTTGGTTTTCAACCAAACAGGATGGGATTTAGAACATAGATAGATATAAGGGCTTCCTACAAGAAGGTATGGTCATCATGCACGTGCACGCACGTGCGTGCATTTGAAACGAGTGAAATTGAAAATACACTTGAATGAGTGATTTTTAATACTTTTGGACTAAACGCTTTCATATAAAGGATATTTAAATATATAGAAAATGTAGACAAGATTATATGATCATTATGCACGTGCATCCACATGGGCACGAGTGCAATGTTAAAATTTGAATATAATTGGTATCCTTTAGGGAAAACATTGTTAAAGTCAGAAATGCACAGATGCTGTCTTATTTAATAAGGCTTACAGGGAATATGGCACCAAAAGGGAGTTGGGGAGCGTTTGGGGAACATCTGTAACGGTTCCCGTTACAATTAGCACTAGTTATTATTATTCTTTTTTCTTCTTATTTCTTCTCCGGTACTTTTTTGTCCGGAAGTGTTCTCAGAAACTGTTCACCAAACTAAGTTAAAACCTTTTTAGGGTTAGTAGGCATGTTGTGTAGATGTGCCGAACGAAGGTCATTTTGCACGCATTCGCTTGCACGTGCAGGCGCGTGCAATGAGTAAAATGACTGATATATTTAATATTGTTGTAACTTTTATATTTTTTGATAAAATGTTTTGAAACTCATTATATAAAGATATATAAGTTGTGTAGATAAGATGACATGGTCAAATTTGCATGAACTCACGTGCATGCACGTGCGCTTTGCTCTGATTGGCTGAAACAGAAATCTCAATATCTTTTTTGTTTTATGATGAAATGCTTTGAAATTTCTAACATAGACATGCATTAGGATATACTACAATATGATATATAAAATTTTTCATAAAATCACGCGCATGCGCGTGCGCTGCAATCTGATTGGCTGAAACTTTAAATGAGTATAACTCCCTTGGTTTTCAACCAAACGGCATGGGATTTACAACATAGATAGACATAAAGGACCCCTACAGGATGGTATGGTCACCATTCATATGCATGCATGTGCGTGCACGTGCGCTTTGCTCTGATTGGCTGAAACAAAAATCTCAATATCTTTTCTGTTTTTTTACAAAATGCTTTGAAATTTAAAACATAAGCATACTTTAAGATGTCCTATATGATATATAATAATTTTCATGAAAATGCGCGCATGCACGTGCGCTGCAATCTGATTGGCTTAAACTTTAAATGGCTATAAGTCCCTTGTTTTTCAACCAAACAGGATGGGATTAAGAACATAGACAGACATAATGGACTCCTACAAGAAGGTATGGTCATCATGCACGTGCGTGCACGTGCAAATGAGTAAAATAGTGTAGACAAGATGATATCGTCATTACGCTCATGCATTCACATGCGCACGCCTGCATTGCTTAAATTTGAAATACTTGGTATACTTTTGGAGAAACGTTGTTTACGTCTTAAATGCATAGATTTTGCCTTCTTTAATGAAATTTACAGGGAATATGGCACGAGAAGGGAGTTGGGGAGCGTTTGGGGAACATCTGTAACGGTTCCCGTTACAATTAGCACTAGTTTATTATGGTATTCACAACAGGATTGGAATAAGATGTATCAAGTTTTTTTGTTATGAATGAATGAGTCTTAATGATTGAGTAAACATCATGGTATTTAATAGTAATATACATTGTATTTGGATAAGTAAGTCTAAAGGGTATGAGAATTATAAACAGTACGTAGCATCAATTTAAATACCTAACAGACTCATGTATCAATAATCTTACACTTAAACTTGTGTACTGGATTAAGATTTTTTGATGATATATATCTATAAGATGAAAATTTACTGTAGATTTTTCACTGAAACTTAAAATTAGAAATTTGTGATTAATTTGAAATATTAATGACTTAAGCCCAAGATATTTCATGATCTTGAGGCCAGTTCCAAGAAAGCTACCGGTATCCAGAATTGATAATAGACTGATGTGTGCTGATGTGTGCACAATTTTTTGAAAGTATCTGGTTTTATATTTTGTATATAGTGTATGTTTAGTGTGAAAAATAAAATCTGACATATTTTTTTAATCACTTTGTAAAATGCATGCATTAAAATGGTTGAACCATGTTTCCTTATTATGGAGTAATATGTACTATAGCATTTTTTGGGGGAAAATTAATTGTCATGGGAGCATATGTCATGAAATCAATGCTATCTTTTAAAGGTAATTTTAACGTTGTCTTTGTTGTGATGTTAAAAAAGGGCAGGGGTGGGGGGAGATAAACTGTTTAAATTTTGAGTAGCAGTCGTGAATGAATTGCATTATGTACTGAATGATTTGACTGGTATATATGATGAGAAAAAATATCATTGTAAATATTCATGGATTGGAATATTTATTTGAATACAAATATATTTCTTTTATTTAAATGAATTTAAAACATTTACTTAAGATGCTTAAATTTTTAGAATTTTATTTATATAAATTATTTTTTATTATTCTTAGTCGAAATAATAGTTAATCTGAGGGAAAACTTAAAGTTTACACAATGTAAGAAAAAGACTTTTATATACTGTCACCCTTTGCGATTTGCTCCTAATTTAAAGATAAAACTGTTAAAAGTGTCATATATATTGTAAATGTTCAGTGCTAAAAGGTAAACTTGAAAAGCAGATTGTTTTGTGAGAATTGTGTGACAAATGAGAGATTTTATTCACATTTTGTAAATAAAGTAGTGTTAATATCTACCATTTCTTTGTTTGGTTAGGCAATTCATGAAAGGAGAATAAAGAAATGAATTTTATACTGAATTGAAGATAACCTGGGCCAGTCTTAGGGGATTTAAAATTAAACATTGGAATATACTTGTACAGGAATCTGAGTCTTGTGAGTGAGTCAATCAAAAAGTCTGTTGCCAAGATATACTTATGGAATTTCAGTGCAATATCTAAAATGATTAATGATAAATTCACAAAGAGAATATATTACACATTGAAGCAAAGCACATCTTGCATGCTCTCTTTGCACTCTCCATAAAACATTTTTGCTCCTTTGTGAACACGGCATAACACAGATTCCAAAAATTAAATATGTGGTGCAGGTCCCTAGGAGGAATAAGCATACCCTGTTGGCCCATCACAACCGTCATGAGCCCACTGTATCCATTAGGTAGACAGAATAATCCCTAGTAAAATAGTGTTAAACAATGACCTAACAATTGTTATGAAACATGTCGGTCAAAATATGACCCAATGATAGGTCTTGCATTTATTTGCGAACAAAGTCACAATGACTAGAGAATTTTCAAAGTGACTTTAAAATAGGTTGTTGAAATCCCAATAAAATCAACTTTGTTGTCAAAAGCCTGCCTCTGTTAAAGATTTTATCATACTTGGAGCATGTTTTGCATATATCAGATACGTTGAAAAACATAAACACCTCTGCAGGTGATATTGGATTACCTCATTAAGTAAGGAAAGTTGATGAAAAAGTTTTCAGTCATCTTGTTTATCATACAGTTTTATTGTTAGCTGACCATTATTGTCTCCTAATAGAAGACACGTGACAGACTCTGTAATTAATAAACGTCTTTTATTTCGAGTTCAGAAGTAGTAGAACCACACTAAATAAGATTGTAAGTGACCTTCTTAAGTATATCTTATTCTGTAACACCCCCTCCCCCTTCTTATCATGCTTTTGGGTTGCAGTTACTGTGTATATAACAACTTCTTTGGGCTAGAACAGGACCATAATACGGAACAGAAAATGTTGTAATGGGGAAAATCTTTCAAAATTCTTCTGACGAAGAACTTAAAGTGAGCATTGTGGCCCATACGCCTCGTCTTCCTCGTGCAGTATTTTAAAGCAATGCACTATAGAAACTTTGTTCGATTTTTTTTTCTTTTTGTTGAGTAAAACGATATTATGGGGTCCATTCAGTATTTAACAGAAACTATAAGAAGATAAAAAGATTGATCCACTTAATTATAGTCTTCAACAATAACTTAAATATATCAATTGGAATTTCCTGTAGGGAAAATTGCGGTCTTAATGCAAAGTTCTTTAAGAAGTGGTGTCGTGCTATCTGTTTTAATCATCAATATAAACTATATACTGTGATATAAAGCTGATACTCACGGTATGAACTTTACC